AAGCTGGCATAGCACAAAGAAACAAGAACACTCTCCAGCTGTGGACTGACGTTCCATTGACCGTTAGACCAATGTCCTCCTGCGGTAAGAGGGCCCAGGCTACACCGGTCACAGCCACAGCGCCTGTAATCCAAGAGGTGGACATGAAGTTGAGATAAGACCCTCGGTACTTGGAACCAGCAAACTCTGAGAGATAAGGACCAAAGACAGGAAGGGAACCACCAACCCTGTAAGAATGGATGCCAATAAAAACATTAATATTATTAATTAATTCTGACCCAACTCCACTTAGAAATCGTGTTGCTAGTAAGAAGTAATAGTTAGGGGACATGGCAGAGACGAAAGCAAAGAATGAATTGAAGAAGAGTGACATGATAAGAACAGTCCTCCTACCACCAATGTCCGAGAGACCTCCCCAAATATAACCACCTGGGTAAGTTATAATAACACAATGGAATATATTTATTATTATTATTATATTTATTACCAATGAGCATTCCAACGAATGTATTAGCGCTCAGTAGTGCCACCTGCCATGATGAAATACCAAACTCAGTCTCCAGTCTAAGGTACTGGAGTATATATCCAATACCCAGGACCTCTACTGAATCTGACGCTAGTACAAGACCGACGCCTAGCATGATCAGTATCTGAGCCTTTCCAAAACCAACCAGACGAAGCACTTCCTCGTAGTCTGTATAAATACCCTCTCTCTCCTTCTGTTCCTCGTCTGCTTCTTCTCCTGTTGTGTCTACAGTTGTGGCCATCTTTATTAGGAAGGTTTTATCTGGCTCTGTTCCAACCTCTGGGCTGTCAGAGTCTTCATCCTCTTCCTCAGGGAAAGGATTGAGAGGAGTAAAGGACTCCATCTTGATCTCTTTCATCTCCACGGCCTCCTTCTCGCTATCTAATGGACTCCATTGTCCATTGTTTTCTTTGCTGAACGCCATCTTTAATTTATTAACGTTAGCCACGCCCACACTAAAATTTAACTCTTTATTTTCCCAACACTCACTCATTTTCATAATGTCATTTTTAGTATCATTTGAGGTACTTACACTAAAATCAGTTTTATTTTCAAACAAAGAAAGATGAAGACATTTACTAATCAATAAATCATTCGTCCCCTTTAGGTGCTCTTGTGTATATAACTTGATTATGATGCTTGCACACTTCCTTTATCGCTCCTTGGGCCAGGAGCTCAGCCAATCCTCTACGAGCCAGAGACACTCGGACCTTTAGCCTCTCCGATACAACGGAAGGTGTTATCAACTTGTAGTTAGGGACTTCTTTCTTCAGCTTGTCATACGTCGGCTTATCGTAGAGAGCCAAGTTATTCAGTTTATCACGAACTTTACCTTTCGACCACTTCTACAATTTTAAGAGGGTTGAGTAATATTTAGAAAATAATTTTTTGAGTCAAACCTTCTTTTTAGCTTTGCCACCAGAGCCAGGCTTAGCTGCTGCTGGCTTTTTAGCTGTTTGCTTGCCACCTTTCTGCTGCCCTCCTTTTTGCTGCTGTTTGGGAGGCTATAAAAAGGAAAATATAATTTTTAAAGACAATGAAGATTGAGAGAACCCACCATTTTGAGACCAAAGAAAGAGAGCACGTGGAGAATTTACTTCACGCATGCGCAATAAGAAGTAGGCGTGGCTTGTGTTATCTCCACGATCAGCCACATGCTGACTTGCTTCCGGACCAAAATATTGGTGTTTTATAATTTAAGTAATTTCTGCTTAAATATATTCCTTCATTTCCTTGAGGCTCTAAATCATGTCAAACAGTGAAGCATTTCTTAAAGCAGCCGAGGACATCAAGACACTGACCACCAGCCCGACTAATGAAGAGTTCCTGGACCTTTACAAGTTCTACAAGCAAGCCACAGTTGGAGACTGCAACACAGACCGCCCAGGAATGTTTGACCTCAAGGGAAAGTATAAGTGGGACGCTTGGAACAGTCTCAAGGGGACGGGGAAGGAAGAGGCTGAGAAGAAATATGTTGATCTAGTCACTGAACTCCTAACGAAATATGCCAATTAACAGGACTGGACTATCATAAAATTAGACTTTGATAAATATTATTATTATTATTGTTTTGTTGTTTGCTTTAAATTTGCTTTAAAATAGAATAGAAAAAATACAAAAATTGACCTGTTCACATTAA